AGGATTCTTTTAGGTGTTTGGAGATTTTTTTTAAAGAAGAACATGACTATTACAGTCTATTCTATTCTAGATAGGTTTTTATACAGGGTTGATCACCAGAGTATCTGAGCACTTTCAATGTCCAATTCATGAAAGCACTTTGAAAGCAAAGGAGTCACTCTCTTCCTTTCTGAGTTATGACTGTATTTGTATGGACAACAACATTAATCACTCACAGTCTTTGTTTACAGAAGGAGTTTGTAGACCATCTGAGAACGTACCTTTTCCAACCCCACTGTGTAGCCTGTGTACAGTATTTGGATATATTTATTATAATGATTTTAAGTGTTATTGTGGCTATATTCTGGATTTGCTATCAATAAGAAAATGGTAAATTCCATGAATACTGATGGTGGAATAAAAAAAACAATTCAAAATTCACTTTTCAGTGTTTACAATCATATGACTTTGCATACTTTTAGACTTGCTTAGCATAAGACTTCACACTGCTAATGTGTTTAAAATTGATGTCATAAAGCTGCTATTTAAATACACGATGTTCACTAATTTGACTGGATCTCGTTGTGGGGTTGCAATTTTTGATAGCTGTTTCTCTTATATCTGTTTATGATACACTGCAAGTAAGATCACATGGGCTTTTTGGAGGAGGGGGAAGCTATCAGAATGACAACAGCCCTCAATTAAGTAAGTGTTGCAGCACTATATCTTAAAGTTATACTTGCTGTATTTAAAATAAAAATGCCAAGAGAAAAGGTTGCTTTCACAAACAGGCAGAAGATAGTTCTCAAAAAGTAGATTTCAACAGAAGTGTCACAAAAAAGCTTGAGATATAGAATCAAATAAATTAGAGATGGAAAGTCCTATAAGGTCATCCAACCCATCCATCTCCTTGTCACTGGAAGACAATTCCCTATAGAATACTCATATGCTTTGTCCAGTCTAGTTTTAAAATACCCAGTCAATTGTAATGGAGCTAGATGGCTCAAGGGATTGGAATGAATACAGTTACCATCATCACTGGTCTGAGTCCAGTAATGACTGATAGTGGTTACCAACTGAGAGCTGCTTGTTGGCCATTGTAAACGGTAGGTGGTCTTCAGACAGGTCACAGTCAACAGATGATCACACCACTGAAACCATCATTATAACAGATACCAATTCTCTTGACAGGAAGATGGGGCTCAAAATGAGCATGAGACTGAATTTATCTTTGATCTATATAAGTAAGCTCCAGGTCAGGTTTTAGGCAGAGTGGCAGATCAGTTTGGAGAAATTGGGAGTGCTGCTGCCTGTGCAGCACTGGTTCTGTGAAGAGTGCATGTTCTTCTCTGGGCTAATCATAGAGCTTTTTTCCAGTAGTAAATTCAATTTTAAATTAAATGTGTGTTTTCTGTAAAAGTTCTATGGGGAAAGGATAAACAGAAAGTGTTTAGGCCTCCAAAGGAAGTGGGCCTAGCAGCTCCAAAGCACAGTCTTCATCCACTCCTTGCATCCCCCAAAGGCCTCTCTTCAGGGACTCGGGTGTAGGTGGGGTGAACAGGAAGATACTGGCTGGAATGGATGGATGCAAATTGTTCCTTTGGCTTAGCAGAAGTTAGTCAAAAAAGATAACATGATCATATTAACATTTCTGCCGAGTCTCACGTAGGGAACCTGGGACCGCCACATTCAGGGTTGTTATCAGGAACTGGGGGACCGGGTCCACAGCCAGTGTGGAAGCAGCTAGCCCTAGCCTCCCACAGGTGGTCCTGCCCGGTGTGGGGACATATCCCTGGGTGCGGGTTCAAAAGGGGATCTTCTCAGATTGTTCTTAGGCAGCATTCCATTCCATTTTGAATTAAAGTGGGCAAGGATTGGATGCTGCTGCAGCAAATTCTCTGGAATCCATGAGCCCCTGAATGCAAACTTGGGACCTTATATTTTAGAAATATTGCATTAGTCAGAAAAACTAAAGTGTGTCTTAGCATAACAGGTCAGGACAATAACACTTAATATCCGATTTACATTAAATATAGTATGTTTACTGAACACAAAACCAATTTTTATAGCTGTTGCTATAGCTACAATTCAAGGAAACCATAGCAACAATATTGTATTATGTACAGCCTTAATTAAGGATAGTTAAATCACGTCTCTCACTGCAATCTACTAAGTACTCCCATGTAATCTAGTTATATTTCATCTTAAAATGTTTTAGTTATTTTTTGCGAAAAATATTTCATGTCATTATGTTACTAATTCCAACACACAATGAACTAGAAATATCCCTTTTGCTGCCGCATTCTGTTAGATGTTCACATTTCCAAGTGATATACATGCATCACCCTTTAAAATTTGTCTATTTTGTGATAAATAGACATGTTTATGTCACCACTTACTGATTGCATAAACTTTCCTATTATGCATCAGTGATAGCTTTAACCTTAATTACTGAGTGACTACTTTCTCATAACATGCCAAATTTTCCAAGTCCCATCACATTCAGTTATCCCCCAAAAGATACCAACTGCCTGAAATTTCACATGCCATAGCTCATCCCACGGTAGAGGTTTTTTTTGGGGGGGAAACATGGTAAACATCAGGAAAAATATCTTAAAGTGTATGTGTAGTTCATCTTTAAACATTTTTCTCGCCTTTTTGTCTTGACAGATGACTGAAATGGCATGGCATTAATGTGTTCTGTTTTGTTGCTTTACTGAAGAAGAGTGCCTTTCAGTAACTCTGGGGAGGCAGGGTACTAGAGGATGTATGCAAAGTAGTATGTAGCATGCTCCCTTGCCTCAGAATGGGAGGCTGTGGGGGAGACGGCGGGGGCAGGGGGGAGGGAAGGGGAATGGAGCAGGGGGAGCTGCATGAAAGCTTTTCACACAGCTGACACAAGAAATCTCCCTCACACAGGGAATAATTAATTCAAGAGCAGAGTATTCACAATTAGCAAGGCATGTTCGATATCCTCCTCATCATTGTTAATTAGCAAATATTAATGTAATCTGCATGTTTGAGGGGGAAAACAATTAAAGTTACTAATTAAAAAAAATCCTCCGTGGCCTCAGCTACATTGCAAATAATGTCTTGCTAATCGATTAATCAGTCACTGACTATCAGACCATTCAGTTCCATCTCCGATGTATGGGCTCATCTACATGGGATTCCCAGCACAGACACTCAAGCTAAAACTAGCAGTGTAGCCATAGTAGCATCTCAGGCTAGCTGCCCAAGCACAATCCTCCTGCCCGACCCACTCGGGTACATACTTGGGTGGCTGTCACGCAGTCACACTGCTATATTTGGCACACTAGCTCAAGCACAGGTAGCGCATGTCTCTCTACCCTCACTGGGAAAGACACCTCACAGCGGCAGTACCTTTGAATGTACCTTCGAAATACGTTAAGTAAACAAATCAGTAAGTGTGGAGCTATCCGTGTTTCTACATACACATCTAACCTCTGGGCGAACGAGCTGGTTCAGGGCAACAGCAATAGGATATTAAGCCCTTCTCCTCCAAGGCTGCTGGCTTGAATCCAGCTCAGATTGGAAGTGACCAAATGATTTTGGTGGCTTAATTTACACAAGTTGGTGGCCTCCATCTAGTTCACATAGTGTCCTCATCTCAAACCCACCACCACAGTTGGCAGTCAGCAATGTCGGGAGACAGGTGCACCTCATTAGCTGGCATGGAGAATTAACTGCCCTTTCTCCCTCAATGGGTTCCTCAATAGGTTTTATGTTTAAGGCACACTGGGTGAAATCCCAGCCCCAGTTAAGTCAATGGCATAGCTCCCGTTGACTTCAATGAGGCCAGGATTTCACTCACTGACTCAGGAAGACTTCTTTCCTGCTGCTTGTCCTGTGCTTGTTCTGTAGGCAAATGTACTCCAGGGCTCTCAATTCTGCATCCTTCATGAACACTACATTCATTACAAATGTTAAAAGCTTTTCAAAAATAACTCCCTACAAAACTACAATTTCTCGCTCTAGTTTTCACCTTTGACACTGTAATGGTGAAACAATTAACCTATCCAGTGCAGTTAGAAAACTAAATGAAAAACAGCTGCACTCACAAAGTGGGAAAAATACCTTCATTCTCAAAGAAGATATATTCAATGTACTCCGTACATGAATCTAATAATTATTACTTCCTTAAGCAAAATAAACCAAACAAAGAAAATAAGAAAATGGGACTGTAAAAGCATTTTACTGCTTGCCAGTGTAAAAAAGGAATAACTATTAGGAAGAGCTTGTAAAACAAATTCATGTTTTAATGTTATTGAATTTATTTGAATGATTTGCACTTATGCACAAATAGCAAACAAATTCTGAAGACAGAGTGGAGAAGATTTCAGTAAAATAAATATAATAAATATAACTACTACTAATAATAATTAATACAGGAATACCTCCAAGAGTGCCAATAGCATCAGAGTCCTTAAAGTACTGGAGTTGATGTAATCTGGCATCTTGACAAGATGGCTTATCCACAAGACCCAAACCAAACATTTTGCAAATGATAAAATACCACTAGTTAAAACACCATATGATACACAGTGGAAATGAAAATCCAACAATTTTCAAAATAAACTGACATGCTGTAAACTAAATATTAATGCAATATTTAAATTAAACCCCACAAAACACTAATCTGATGCTTGCTTTCTTATTCATACACTTTTACTGAATGGTGCCCTTCCTTCCTGCCATCTCCCAAAAAGAACTACCCAGAATTTTGAGTCCAGTTTACTGTTTTTTTTAAAGATCTGGTTATGGAGATTACAGAGTTTAAACTATCCAAATTTTTAAAAGGTTCCTTTGGTGTTGAAAAACATTACTTGCTTAGATTTTTCAGTGGGACATTTTCTGTCGGGACAGTTAAAACTCTTATCTGGGGCCAGTGAAATGGGGGTTTGTTGAGCACATGGTTGGCTTTGTTGTTTTTCAAATGCTTCATTTAGTTACCAAATTTATTGATCCTTTCTAGTCATCACTCTAGTAGAAGTTCTTACCTCTTGTGTTTTTACATTTATATATCCATAGTGCGTTCTGAGAGGCCGCCTTTGTTTGTCGGAAAACGGCATCCACTTTACACCAGTTTGTCCAAAGCAGTTTAGAATCAAAGGGAAGTTTACTTCATTTGTAAGGCGAACGATGACGAAGAGGAATGCTGCTATGAAACTTATTGTAATAATGGACTTTCTCTAAAATTGGAAAAAAAGAAAGTGTTTTACTAAAAATATAAGGATCAGTTTCAAACAACAAATCTATATATGCAATATCCACAGTAAGTACTCTTTCCCTTTTTCAAAGTTTTATCTGGTTGTGCCTACTGCAGGGAGTTGTAACTGCTAATGCTGCTAGATCCCAGTAAGATAGGCAACTGAATAATTTTGCATCTTAAAACTTGAATTTCAGTTGTTTTAAGAGTTTTGCCTAGGGCTGGTTGAAAAAATAAAAAATTTCTTGTGAAAAAATTCATCCCATTTTTAATCAAAATGGCAAAAATATTAACCAGCTATATAACTGGCTGAAAAATTGGATGCATTTTACATGAAAAATTCATCTTGGAATGTCACTATAAAATCAAAATTCGGACAGTTTCAATCTGTAGTTCCCTGGCATGGCATTTATGACTGGTACTCCCACTTTTGCACAAAGCTGATGCACTGAAACAAAATATACAATGATATCTGTATAGGCTAAAGTGATATATGATTGTCCCTTTCTCTTAACAGATTCTGATCTCATTTATTACATGTTAATTCTAAATCATTCCAATAAAGTCAGTGGAGTTACCCTGGATTTACATACTGTAACTGAAATCAGAATCTGACCCTTCCATTCCTTAGAATAAGCGGGCCAGACTTTCTGCTTCTTTCCAGGTTCACAGATTTACCAAGTGAGCCCTTATTACCAAGGACAAGTTGACCTCAATTGTTAATAATTTAAAAGGTCTCGAGTGTCCACTTAAACCCTGATTCTCACCTCTAATCCACCTAAACTTGAACCCACCTAGTCTTCTAACCAGGAAAACGTATTAATTACAGCTGCAGGATGGTGACACATTTCAACATAATGACTTAACATATAACTTGATGAGTCCTGCACTTTTAACAAGAGCAGAGAAATTGCTTCCAAACTACACCTCTACCTCGATATAATGCTGTCCTCAGGAGCCAAAAAAATCTTACCACGTTATAGGTGAAACCGCGTTATATCGAACTTGCTTTGATCCGCCAGAGTGCGCAGCCCCGCCCACCCGGAGCACTGCTTTTTATATCAGGATTCGTGTTGTATCAGGTCGCGTTATATCGGGGTAGAGGTATACTTAGGCACAAAGCATGTCCAGCTAGTGCAAGTGGCTAAGGAATTTAGACACAACAGAACTATACAGTTTACAGAAAACACAGTTTTAAAGGTTTTGTTGGAGGAATATGCCATTTATAGGCTTGAGGTATTTATATATTACTCCCATTGTATTATTGCTTTACCTCATTTGCTTCTATTTAATCACTCTATTGAAAGTAATTCCATCATTGTAAACAGCCGTATTAATGGAGCTTCAGTAAGAAGAAATAAATCAAGCCCTTTGAGAAGGTACAGTGTTTAAAGTACATATTATCTCTTAATGATGGATGTCAAAATCTGACTGCTAATGTCTGTATTTAATTGCAATCCAGAATAGCTGCAACTAGCACAAGTAGCATATCTGCAATGGCTATTACGTGTGGATGCTAGCTGTTGTAAAGGAGAGAAGAATGAGAGGACAAAAGACTCTAGTATGTAAAGATATAATCTTTTCCTGACCTGGAGTTTCATTTGACTACATACTGAGTAGTCAACAGACTGGAGAAATTAAAATTCAGTTCTGGGTAATGTTGGTGTTGTGTGTTTTTCTCCTTACACAGAAAACATGATATAAAAGAACCACATGAGCTTGGCAGGGTCTAAATAACCATGTTTATTGAATATATACAACATGCAAGGACTAGCTTAATATATATACTACCGCTCTGGTAGGGTTCTGGTGGCTTTTGAACACAGTGAGCACCACTAGAGGGTTCACAGATTATATAAAGAGCTACTATCCTATTCCCATATACACTGCAGTTGGCAGTATAGTTATGGTAGGTTAATTAGATGATTTGTCTGTTTTGACATCTTGGAAAACAGTAGTTTTATGAGTAATGGGAGGCAAGACAGGTTGAGATGGGAAATCAGGGAGAAAGGAGTTACTGAGGGGAGAATGGAAACTAGGAGAGGTGCTCCCTCCAGTGATGAGTTTTAGTGAATAAAATAAGAGGCAAGTTATTCATAAACTGTTAAAAAAAAGTTAAAGCAAGCAGTCTGAAGGGCAGAATAGGAGTATAATAGAATAGCAGATCTAACTTCCAGAAACACTAAGAGCCTGTGAACTTCTCATCAACTGCATTACAAAAGATGTACATTATATTGCATCAAGCTGGCTAGCATGGGCATATGTGCCATTCCAGATGGAATAGGATCTGTTTGGTTACATATGAAAGCTTTTAACAGTTCTGAGTGGCCAGGCTGTGCAGCACAGCGATATCCAGGAAGCAATGAGAGGGGTATAAATTTGTTGGATTATTTACCCCATTTAGGACTTTCCCCCCACTAAATAATGCAACAATTGAAAGGGGATTGCCAGAATGTATCTGAATGCATGTTTCCACTACATCTGTAAGCCTCGTTTGAAAAAACACACAGCTACAAGACATGGCATTGTATTCTATTCCACCACCAACAGATGTCACCAATAGATAGCTGTCTACCTTCCAGCTTTACTGAAGACCTTTAATCATTGATGCTGACTCCGTGGGTGCTCTGGGACTCAAGCATCAACTGAAAAAAAACAGGGGTGCTCAGCACCCGCGGGTCCGGATTAATCTTTTGTTGGCCCCGGTGCCCAGACTGTGGCCCCACCCCCCATTCCGCCTGCACTCTACCTAAGGTCCTGCCCCCACTCAGCCTCTTCCCCCAAAGCCCCACCCAATGCTCCATCCCAAGGCCCCACCTGGGCTCCACCCATTCCGCCTAAGGTCCCACCCATGCTCCACCTCAAGGCCTCACCCCTGCTCCACCCAAGGTCCCACCCACTCTTGGCCTCTTCCCCTGAGACTCCACCCACACTCTGCCCCAAGTCCCTGCCCCTGCTTGGCCTCTTTATCCTGAGACCCTGTCCATGCTCCACCCCGAGGACCTGCCCCCGCTTGGCCTCTTCCCCCTGAAGCCTGCCTGCTCTCCACCCTGAGGCCCCACCCCCACTTGGCCTCTTCCCCGAGGCCCTGCCCACTGCTCACACAGGGGGTGAGGGGGCAGAGAGGAGCACCCACCAGCAAAAACAAAAGTCAGTGACTGTATCTTTAATAACTCCTTGGAGGGGGTGTGGAAGGTTCAACCAGGTCGTGAGAATCAAGTTATCACCATTTGCAATCACCCCCAGCTGGCTTTCCTATAAATACTAAAAGGTTTCTTTAAAAAAAGTCAGAGGGAGGAATTTTTCTGCATTAGAAATGCAGAGCGTGTCTTTACACAGAATATTCTACAGTGTCTGGAGAAACAGTGCCATGACGACCTCACAAGAGAGCTGAAGGGATTTTTAATCAAACTATTAAATTTGGATATTTATTTTATTTTTGGTAACACACATTTAAGTTTATTTAGCTTTTTGAAGAAAGGAAGCTTTTTGCTAAAGATTCAGCATATTCATTTATTTCATTAGGGTGTGAGAACCACAAGCACCCATTCTCTGAGACATAACCTCCTACAACAAGACTGCTAGCGAAACCAAGGAAGACCAGACCTGACAGCCCTCAGAATGGCTCTGGTTAAAAAACAAGCAGAAAAAGACCCTACCGACCTAACTTTCAGGCTTTCTTAAGAAGCAAAAAAAGGGCACATGATCAATGCCTAAAAAATACTATGCCTGTCACTTTAAACAGAGGTATACCCCTCTAAAGAGGCTTTTTTCCAGCCACTCAGGAAAATTTTTTCATAGGTATTCCTCCTGCAGTGTCCCTTGTAAACTCCCCCTGCTTAAAAATAGACATTGTCACCTCTCCTTTCCTGAAATTTACAATTTCGAACTGGATTTCAAGGCTTTTTTTAAGTCACATTGGGTCATTAAAATATGGATGGAGCCATATTTATAGCTTATTGCACAATTGCTAATCTCAAATCTTATGCACATCAAAATGTTAAGCACCCGCAAAACCAATCATTTGAAATTTTGCCACACCAATACAGAATTAAATTAGCAAATTACAATAGGGAAAAATCTTGTTCCCGCTTTACTTTTCATTTCAGGTAGTTGCAAACAGCCCTTTAATAATAGAAACTTTTAAAATCTATTTCCTCTGACAGGAACGCTATCTATATGAAAATCTGTGTCAATCTATAAACTTTTCTAACTAATTTAATATAGGCATTTTGATGCACTTGGCATTTTAATTAAAAGATATCTAGTTTTAAACATGTTCCGTAGCTAGGTATAGCAGATAATACATTTTTAACAGATTCATAGCTGAATGACTTTCAAGCTATATAATTTTCAGATGCTTTTATTCCTTTCACAACAGTGCTAGACTTTAATCTAGCATATTCATTTACAGTGGCCAACAGGCTTTTGTTTGTTAACTTCACTCAGTAACCAAAGTAGATGCTCACTGAGGGTAAAAATGTATGTGTATGGCTACTCTGATAAAATTGCATGAACTGAAGGGATTTGAATATATGCAATGCAATACTTGTGATTACCTCAGACAGGGAAGTTGCTGGGGCACTAGCCATTTTTCTCTCTCGTTCTCTTTTTTTTTTCATTCAATATCCATAATATAATCCCAATTTTTGTTATTTCTTGGCAATCAGAATCATTCTGTCTAGGATGTATATCAAAATCAATAAGCATCATGCAGTAGGCACGAAGAATCATTCCTTCTAGGCTTGAATTTCTATACAGTATGTTGTTATATAATCACAGGACTGTCATACTATGTTGCTGGTTAGGATTCCGAGGAAAGCTCTGTGGAAATAAAACATGAATGATGAAACTAGTGTGTGTGTGTGTGTGTGTGTCTATATTTGACAGTATGGTTTCTAATGTGGTTTAACATATATAACCATTGCATTACCCACATTTTGGGGACTTACCAGTTACCTGTGTGACTCACTGGTTTTATTTTAGCAAGAATTTGACAGTTTTCTGAGTGAGGTAGAATTATTTTTCTTTTATGATCTGATAAGGAATATCGATGTGACAACAACATTTTACAGTTTCATCATTTTTGATGGATTGGTAACACATTTAAATGGATCTGTAGTATTTTGTGCTGTATACTGTTGTCTAACAGGGCTAGTAATAATTTACAGGTTTAACAAAAAAGAAAACATTTTCAGTATGACAAAGCAGTGTCACAACTTGTAGTAAATTCTACAAAGGTCTGTAGTCAGTATCTGCTTTACTGTGTTCCCCACACTAACTCCTAGATCCAGAACCAACCAGTAAACCAGTAAAATTTGTCACTTGCAGAACAATATATGGAAAAGTCTCTCGAAACATTTTACAAGTAATAATAAGTCCCATACTATTCCTGTGAGGTACAAAGCTAAATGCGATTCTATCCATTTTACAGATATATAAACCAAGGCTTAAGTGACTTGCCCAAGGCCACACAGTAAATCAGCAACAAAATTCACTCCCAGTCCCCTAATCTAAGCACTAGACCAGTGCTTTCTGACAAGACAGCTATTACTATTATTTTATCATCTGTAAAATGCCAACAGTGAGCTTGATGCAGTACAAGACACTAATAAAGACAATTCCATGCCCCAAAGAGCAGTTTAAAATAATACATTTTGGGGAGAAATTGATTTTTATAGACCTTTTTCTATCCGCTATATTCATGAATACATGGTAACAGTGAGCCTGGAAGGAAAAGTGAGAGGTAAAGATTAACGTGTACGTTTGGAGTCTCTTAAATGACATGATACGGTGTAATATTGTACTGGTTTCACAATACTTACTTTTATGACTATAACAAAGAGCTCGATTTTTTTAAAATACTCCTGCACATTATACTACTTTTATTGTAGTGGTTCAGGGTTTCAAGCTTCATTTGATTTTTACTCAAGTATACCTCCAACTGAAAACAATAACAGCTACATTTACCGAATTTGTTTCATTTTGTGAACTACTGTATGTAAAACCAGATTTATTTTATTTTGTCTTTTATAGTCTTGAGCACCTTGTTCAAGTGTCACTTTCTGTCACAAAAGACCACAGAATGAAATTCCGTCAGAAAAATATTTCATCACAGACCTGCTTTCCAGTCCTTCCTTCCAGCATCCATCTCTCCTTGGCATCATGCGAACAGCTGCCTAGCACTGCTAACGGTCATTCAGGGACTGCTCTTCTTGAGCTCTCCAGAGATATAATTTCAACTGTAACTACTAAAAAGTATAACAGGAGTAACATTGGAAAGTGGCAAATGCCATAACCACAAAAAATGCTTACCTAGTAAGGAGATTTTTTTTTTAAATATACTCGCGTGTCAAAAACCACTAGCAACAAATCTATAGCTGGAGATATATTTGCATTGCATCTAGATGTGAAAGTTTATCTGAAAACACTCAAAGAGCAACATGACACAGCTAGTGGATTTTTGATTCCACTCCTTGGGAAGAAGAAAAAAGGAATGGGGCGAGATTGGCAGACAGCTCTGCTTTTAAGAATAGAAATTAACAAGACAAGATGAAAGGGTATTTTTGGACCAGGATATATCTGCTGTGCTTTATTCCTGGAACATGACCAGCAGGGAAGCACTGGAGCAAGGAGCAGAAATTCCCTCATAATACTTATGTAGAAACAGAAACTCTGCAATAAAAAAAAATATGGGCCAGACCTGTGTGTTGGCCTGGAGAACCTTTCTACCAAAAGTGGCCTCATCAGCTATTGACCCTGGGTAGAGCTTGTAATACGTTGAGAAAATGTCAGCGCCATCAGGTGGCCACCTGAGGCAGAAGAAGATGCAGGCTGGAGCAGGGGCTGGCTAGCATGAAAGCAGGCCTGGAAAAGAGAAGGAGCACAGGCAGTCGGTCAGACATACTGTCAGTGGAAGTGCTCCCAGCCAGGTAGTGATGTTGAACAGACTGGAGAGACTGCTTCCCTTAGGATCGCCTGGAGGGTCCTCGCTCGTGGACTGGCTGAACCCTGGTTGAATGGCATGGAGCCTATCACAAGACCTGCAGAGAATTGCCTGTGATGACTGCTTTGAACAGGGGGTTGGACTAGATGACCTCCTGAAGTCTCTTCCAACCCTAATCTTCTATGATTCTATGACTGATCACACACTCTGGCTCAGGGATGACTCATCAGGCTTAAGCAGGCACAGGCTCAGAGGTAACTTCAACGATTACTCACCACAGTAAGCATGGATGGAAGACCAGGTGGCTACCTTGCATGTCTCATCTCCTGCTCTTTTTATATATGACATTACTAAAAACTTCCGGGAGAATTATTTTGAGGCCCTTAAGGAATGAGAAACCCTTGTATATATTCTTCTGATATATTATATCCATCTTTCTAATATCGGACCATAGATAACTGAAGACAAAAGCAGCATGAGGTTTGTTTTGCTTATCGTTTTGATCCTATGACTCTCCTTACATCAGTTGTAACAAACAACACTTCCTTCAGATGAGGAGGATTTGGGCGACAAGATGGCAAAATAATCTCTTGGGAACAGTGGAATGATGTACTGCCCTTGGGGCCAATTTTTGTCATTGTGCATGTGCAAAACTGCTGCTCAGTTGACACGTTCCCCATTTCCAAACATTCTGTACACATAAGAGATCGCTATAATGAATGCTATATGGACTGACAAAGTGACAGAATACTGAACTCACTGGCTAAAAAAAGATTGCCAGGGCACTAATCATAGATTATTAGGGTTGGAAGGGACCTCAGGAGATCATCTAGTCCAACCCCCTGCTCAAAGCAGGATCAATCCCCAACTAAATCACCAAATGGCCCCCTCAAGGATTAAACTCACAACCCTGGGTTTAGCAGGCCAATGCTCAAACCACTGAGCTATCCCTCCCCCCCTTCTTTACCCTTTCATTTCCTTGGGGGTGAGATCTTGCAACAAAGATGGCTTGGAGTCCAACCTTGCCTCGTGACTGTGGATGACTATCTGGAAAAGAAGGAGGAAGCTCTCTAGCCCTTACTGGTCTAGGATATTTGCTTGGTGGTTTTGAGCTGTTATGTCAGGTCAGATGCTTGCCTGAAGACTGACTACTTGTACGTTAGTGAGGGTGCACTGTGACCAGTTTTGTACATTCCATGGCAGCAAGGACCCCTTTGGAGCTACTAGAGTCAGTAGCCCCTTGACATTCAAAGAAGAAAGCCTTGCCCAGCAGGCTCTGTCTTCTGTCTTGCCCTCTGTTTTATCTTTTGTCAGTTCAGCTGCATTCATAAAACAAGGTTCTGCCTCTCTCACTTTGTGAGTGGCCAACGACCTCAGGATACTCTTCTAACTCTGAACTAAATAAAGTCCCCTGAAGTATCCAGTAGCTGGGACAGAAACGGCATTTGTCTCCTTTACAAAGCAAGACATTTTCTTGCTGAAGCTGGAGCACCTCACACCTTTGCATTATCCATGAGACCAGCATGACCAAGCCATCTTGCAACAGGTGACCTGGCCAGCAGAGGCTGAGGGGAAAAAAGCTCGTGTTTAAATCCAAAAAACGGACCCACGCAAAGCAAAGAAGTAGGAATCATAGAAATATGACTGCTGGCATAGCTGAAAAACAAAATAAAGAGCATTGACCTCTGTAGAGAGCATTGGAAAATCAGTAAAACTGTCACTGCTGAGCTTCTACACAATTCTAAAGACATGATCCTTGATCTCATCTGCCTTAACTGTGCACAACTGAGGGACCCAGAAGTGAGAATTGCCATACTTGTCATTGTCCAAGGAACTGAAGATGTACAGTGATCAATCTTAAAAGCCTTGACTGTTACGTGTAGGATAATTGCTGTTATTTAAATTTAGCCCCAAATAACTAAACAACATTTAGATAACTAGATTATTGTGTTACGTGCAGTATTCCTATAGGAAACACCATACATGCTTAAGTAATTTTATAAAGTTATTTAATGGAAAACTGGGAAATTTTAAAGCAGAACTATAGATAGAAGAGAAATATCTGGAAAATACAACTTAAGTATAAAATGGAAGACTTACTGTATTTGAAAGTTCATATGAAGGTTCTGAGCAGACTCAATTCTGCAATGTCTTCTTAAGAATTAATCTGCATTACTATTTTTCCCTTATTAACCCACTGTTTTAATATGATTCAAAACCTTTTTATCAACACACTCCTGTCTTATTATGAATAGCTCCTTCGAAGACTTAAAAACCATTCCAGCTCTCCAACAACCATCTTTGTTTTTGCTCACTGCCATATTCTAGGGCAAGGGTCTCAAACACGCGGCCCATGTGGCCCGCCAAGCTCCCCCCCCGCCCCTCTGCCTACCCGCGGGATTGCCCCCTGTGGTGTTGCAAGCCCCACGCCGCTCTCTGAAGCAGCTGGCAGCACGCCCCTTCGGGCCGGGGGGGGGAGGGGGAAGGAGGCAGAGGGCTCCTGCATTGCCTCCTTCCAGGCACCGCCCCCCGCAGCTCCCATTGGCCGGGAACAGGGAACTGCGGCCAATGGGAGCTTCGTGGGAGGTACCTAGAGGAGTGGCAAGAGCAGCGCGCACATGGAACCCTGAGCCCGCCCCTCCCCCA